CCTCCAAACACAGCGTCAGAAAAAAAGCCTCCAAATAGAGCTTCAGAAAAAAAGCCTCCACCCGCCTCCATCACTACCGGATCGGGCAATCCGGTCCGAACCGGGAGCATTTCACCCCTGGATAGAAGGACTGCAGTGAGGGCACCAGGGTCACATAAAACAATGGAAGAAGTTTTCATTTAAAAGATGACCCTCTCGTTTGCAAGCCATTGAAACAAAACCCAAGTAAGATCTTAAGATGTTACCCCGGGGAACCTTCTCCAAATTTGCCTTCATGCGTTTTATTTCCCCTGACTCCACCTACTTGAAGCAAATGGTCCCAACAGTTCAGAACAATTTTGAGCTCTGAGCCAGAAAGAATTTTGCAATATTCAAAGGAAACATGCACTCCGAATAAGAAACACGTTTTCAACTAATTAATAACCTGGGAAGTGAGAATGAGGCTACATTGCTTAACAATAAGGGGTACAAAACATTATCCAACTTTCCTACTGCGAGGATGGTAGGAGAGAATTCTGGACAAGAATAGGCCCTCAATTATTTAAAATTAATTACTTTATAAGTAATTATAAAATAATTACTTAGATAAATGGCAACAGTTATGGGAAAGGAATTACAAACTAACAACGTCCACTGCATATAAAGAAAATCAATATAAAATGTTTTACAGATGGCATATGCCCCCTCACCCCGAGAAACTGGCAAAAATGTTTAAAGATAAATCCGTTAAATGTTGGAAATGTCACCAATTACCAGGATCTTATTTTCATATGTGGTGGACATGTCCAGAAGCTAAAAACTACTGGAATAAAATCAAGACATGGTTGAAAAAAATGACACAACAACATATTGATTTAAAACCAGAGCTGTTCCTATTTGGGTATCCTTCCAGAAAAAAATTGTAAAGAAAATATTTATTTGATTATACATGTAATAACAGCTGCAAGAATTGTTTTTGCACAAAATTGGAAAGCAGAGAAAATACCGTTGGAAGGAGAAGTAAATAAAAAAAATTAGACTGTGCAGAAATGAATAGATTAACTTTGAGGATTAAAGAAAGGGAGGATTCAGAATATTTTAAGATATGGGATCAATTTTATCATTGGTTAGAAAAGAGATATAGATAAGTAAATCAATAGTTATGAAAAAAACGGTATAATTAGAATATTGTACTTTTGGAGATATGTTGTAATAGATTGGGTGATAATGAAGGCAGAAGAAACAACAAAAAGATGAAGTCATGGAGAGAAAACACTGAGATGTCGCATGGAAGGAATTATTGATGTATTAAATGTTTGTTTGTGTATAAAATAAACTTTTTCAAAAATTATTTAAAATGTGAAATTGTTAAGAGTAATCTTTAAGGAAAAGGATAGAGCAGAAACACAGTGATGGACGAAGCGACGGAAGACTTTCAGAGTAAGAGTGGCAGGTTCACACTCTTCGAATGAAATGAGAGGTTAATTTGTCCGTCTAAATCCCAGATAAAGACAACTTTTTTGTGACAAAGCTGGGTAACCCCCTTCCCTTCTAGCACTGATGATGTTCCCTAGTTGGGTAATGAAATGCCTGCAGGCAAGCAACTAAGGTCAGAGGGCACCAAGGACCAAGTGCAATCCTGATAGAAAATCTTAAACCAAAGATTAAAAAAAAAATCCTCCTTGGAATATCTGGTGCATGAAAGACCACACTCTTGGCTGCTTAACAGAAGATTTAGTTCAGCCAGACCAGATAAAAAAACCCAATTGCTTCTCAATCTGCTCATCTAAACTGAAAGTATTGCAGCTTTGGAGTCTGAAAGAAAGGCCAAATACATTTCAAACTTTTCCACTCACACCAAGTCGGGTAGCAATAACTGGGTGTCCCCCTCCCCTCATCTTTTTCTACTTGCATTTCTTATCATAATTAATTGCTTTTTAGATGTACGTTTTCCCTCTTTGGCGAGTGCTATTTATACGTGCACAGATATTGTCTGTTTTTATGCAAATATATTATATACGGGGCAATTTTATTATGCTTCTAATTTTATCTGCATCTTTAATTTATCTCTGGTTAGGTTTGGCCCAGCAAGTATATTATTTCTTTGATTTTATTATGGCTTTTAGCGTTTATTTTAGCATTTATTTTGTGGCTAAAATAAACATCATTCAGGCTTTTAGCCACTATAGTTAAATATTTCTCTTACTAATGAAGGCAACTAACATCCTCAATTTACATCTACGCATCCAAAATTTCTGCTGCTAAGTGTTGTGGCACATCAGCGGCCTGTGCAGCTAGTAGCTGATTCAGACAGCGAGGAGGCTGGTGTGGTGCTGTGCCAGCAGCCTGTGCAGTTGGCACTCGAGTCGGACAATGAGGAGGCTGGAGAAGATGTGGTGCCAGAGGCAGACCTGACAGGTCATAAGTGTGAAAAATGGTCATAAGTCACTTTCTTCAGTGCCGTTGTAGTTTTGAACTCGATGAACTATTGTAAGTCAAGGATTACTTTTATATGACTTATTTACTTTTTATACTGCATTGTTCTAAGCTGGTCTTTGAGTGCAATTGAGTTTATGTTTAGGATAAAGTGGGTAGAATGATTTTTCTTTCTCTTTGAAAAACACGAAAATAAGAGAAAACCCAAATAACTAAAGATTGTTGGAGAAAGATTATAAAGCAGAGAACTTTCATGTATAAACTCCTTGGTCATATCCCTTGTTACAGAAATACAGAAGATTCTGTATTTAGCCAGAAAATCATAAGATTTCTCCTGTAAATACATTTTGAAAACAAGGTTTTTAAAATGCAAGATTGTTTTTCCATGAATTACAATCTTCGGCAGGTTTTGTTCTAAATATCATATATTATATTTTCTTGTATTGGACTGTATCGAATTGAATATTGGATACTAGCAGATTTTTTTCTGTATAGCTTTTGTGTAAAAATGTGGGGTTTTTTGTGACCGTGTCATTTTTCATGAAAAGAAACTACATACTTCTTTTACTTCTCTAAATTAGACTTTCAATCAGCGGAAGGCTCATAATTCAAGGAGGAATTGGAAGATAAGGTAATGAAAGTTTAATTAAGCCTTAAAATACAGTATAACTATATTCGGATAATGACTGTAAGTATATATAGAACTTTCTCTGAAGTGAAAACCACTGATTTAAAAAGCTCTTTTTAAAAAAAATTACAAAATGACAAACAACCAAACAATGGAAGGCAATTGAAAAATTTTAAAAGGTAATTATAGGAAACATAAAACCCATCATTTACTCAAAATCAAATTGAGCCTAAAAATATAGAAATGCACATAGAAAAACAAATCTCTTTGTTCACCACCCAAAGTTGTCGATGTAGGTTTCTGACATGTCTCCCCTAAACCAGACATTCCAGATGTGGGACCCCACAACCACAAAAGCCCCCTCTGTGTGATCAATTGCCCCATTACCCTTGGCAAGGCCATCTCCATATTGCCTGATCTTCCCAAAATATAGGAGAAAAGGCCAGGCAGAGGCTGAGGGTGGAGTCAAGAGAGGAATCAGCCTAGTAGAGTCATTATGGTTCCCACAAGCAGTTTAAGGCCAACGCTTCTTGAATTCTGTTGGTTCTTATCCACCACTAATTTAGTCCTGACCATTAGTTGACTAAGGTCTTTTGCAAGGGTGAAATCCAGCAGGTTCTGACAGGTTCTGGAGAACCGGTAGCGGAAATTTTGAGCAGTTCGGAGAACCAGCAAATGCCACCTCTTGCTGGCCCCAAAGTGGGGTGGGAATGGAGATTTTGCAACATCCTTCCCCCCGGAGTGGGGAGGGAATGGAGATTTTGCAGTATCCTTCCCCTGCCATGCCCACCAAGCCACGCCTACCAAGCCACACCACGCCCACCAAGCCATGCCCACAGAACCACTAATAAAAAAATTTGGATTTCACCACTGGTCTTTTGTATAAGGTAAAGGTAAAGGTTCCCCTTGCACATATGTGCTAGTCGTTTCCGACTCTAGGGGGCAGTGCTCATCTCTGTTTCAAAGCTGAAGAGCCAGTGCTGTCCTAAAACGACTCCGTGGTCATGTGGCCGGTTTGACTAAATGCCAAAGTTGCACGGAACGCTGTTTCCTTCCCACCAAAGGTGGTCCCTATTTCTTCTACTTGCATTTTTTACGAGCTTTCAAATGGCTAGGTTGGCAGAAGCTGAGACAAGTAACGGGAGCTCACCCCGTTACGTGGCACTAGGGATTCAAACCACTGAACTGCCGACCTTTCGATTGACAAGGTCAGCATCTTAGCCACTGAGCCACCGGGTCCCTCTAGTCTTTTGTATAGGCATGAGCAATAAAGCTTGACTAGAACTTATGGATTCTTTGGGCCTGACATAAGCCCAGACATAAGATAAAAGGCATTGCTGGAGATATTTTAGCTCCAAGCAACTCATGAATGTATAACCATCTCTAAACCTTACTTTGGGCCTGGAAAATATGACAACTGTGTTAGGGTATGTACCCAGCAGGAATTACCATGTAATAACAGTATCCCTAAGAGATGGAATGTGCATCTGGGGAAGGAAGAGGGGGGATCTTGGCAATCCCCCGATGGATTCCCAGAGAGGAGGCAGCACATTCCAGAGAAGGGCACAAGACAAGAGACTGCACAATCCAGAACTGGATGGGGGTGGAAGGAAAATGTTTAGGGTTACTCACTCTGGAATCTTGCAGGGAATATCTATTAGGTTAGAACATTCTAGCTTTAGCCTGGCAAGATTCTGTCTATTAGATGTAAGCAAATAAAGAATTGGAGTCAGTTGGATTTCACGGTATCATCTTTGGCCTTAGGCCTGACATTATTTAATCTCAAAACAACATCCTCATGCACCACGTGCCCATAGAATCCTCCCCGTCTCACTTCTTTGTGCACAGAGTTTTCAGTGGCTTTTCCATCACTGTTGATATGTCGGCTCGGTCCAGAAAGAAGTGTAGAAATTCGATGCCTGTCTTGATGTTAGTTAAGGAATCTAAAGGGACTCACCTGGTGTTGTCAGAATCGATGGTGTGGAAAAGTTTCTCCAACTCTTCCTCGTTAAGAGTCCCATCGGAAAAGAAGGCCTGGAATTCTTCCAAGGACAATTTCCCATCATCTGCAAGCAACACAACAGAAGGTGTGAGGGATTAGCAGCAGAAAAAGGGGAATGGGTGCAGAACAGACGGGAAGCAAAACCGATACAAAGGCATGCAACAGCCAGGGTCACAATCTATGATGGGTACAGGTCTGGAACCCACATTGCATATTGGACATTAATACAATGGAGCGCGTCCAGAGATATTTCACGAGAAGAGTCCTCCACTCCTCTACCCACAATAGAATACCTTATGCCACCTTATGCCTTCAAATTTTGGGCTTAGACAATTTAGAATTACACCGCCTTCATTCTGATGTAAGCATAATACATAAAATTATCTGCTACAAGGTCCTACCTGTCAATGACTACTTCAGCTTCAATCACAACAATACACGAGCACACAATAGATACAAACTCAAGGTAAACCATTCCAAACTTGATTGCAGAAAATACGACTTCAGCAACAGAGTGGTCGATGCCTGGAATGCACTACCTGACTCTGTAGTTTCTTCCCCAAACCCCCAAAACTTTAAACTGTCTACTGTTGACCTCACCCATCCCTAAGAGGTCTATAAGGGGCAAGCATAAGCGCACCAACCTGCCTATTGTCCCTGTCCTAATGTCCCCATTTATTCACATCCATCTCTGGGGTGGGTTCTAAATTTTTTTACTACTGGTTCTGTGGGTGTGGCTTATTTTGTGGGCATGGCTTGATGGTCATGTGACAATTATTTAGGATTTAGCAGAGGTACTGGTCTTCCAGGCTTTTAACTGCTTGCAGAGCTGTACCAATCTATCCATTTATTTTTGCAGGCACTGATCTACTCATGTATTTTTGCACTGGTCTATTCATTTGTTTTCTTTTAACACTGATCAGCTGTAGGGCGGCCCTCTGAAGCCCCGCGGCAAGAGTTTAAACAGTTTTTTCCCCTCTAGCCATCAGTTGGGACTCAGGAGGCAGCAATAGATTGGGGGTGAGGCCAAATAAAAGCTAAGAATAACGCCGGGGGTGGCGGGGTGCGGGGGGGGCGTGGGGGGGCAGAACCAGTTCGGTGACATCATATTGTCACCGCTATCGGCTCGGGAGAACCGGGCCGAACCGGGAGGAACCCACCACTGATCCATCTCATGTATTCATAATTATGTCTATACTTATATATGTTATCTAATACATGCGTGACGAAATAAATAAAATAAAAAATAAAAATAAATTCCATATTCATCCTTTAACTCTTTCTGGGAAAGTCCCTTATCTATTTGTATGTTAGACCAATTGTCCAAATGGTCTAAAGGCACCTTCCTTTATGCTTTTGGGCACCGTTGAGATCTCTAAATAAATTATTTGCCAGGCATGAAGTTTTATGCTAACATGAAATAACTGGTGACAAAATAGTGAAGGATATTTTTAAGGCAGTTGTGTAGCAAGACGGCCATTAATGGATCATCCTGCTTCATTTTGGTTTCCACAGACCAACCTAGATGAATGTCTATCATGGCATGTAAAGGTGGTTTGTTTGTGGCCTAAGGCTGCAAAAAAATGAATTTTCCTTCCTCACTGTAAAGAAAGCTTAAGACTGGAAAAAGAAGAATTAGATTGGCAGTGGTTTGTTCTCTGATCTTGTTTCCATTTAGTTCCCAAATGTTTCGTTACCAGACTAGATACATCTATAAAATCAGTATGTCTATAGATTTATAAGATAAGATAAATATGACTAGATATGCAGGATTTTCTTGTCCTATTCCTCTTTAGCTAATGATGTTACCATGGTTCTCCCAAAAAATGACATCCCCTGATAATTAGCCCAATCGGGTTTATGAGCGCATGGCAATAAGGCCAAGCGTTTATTTCAGGGTTCAAAAAAATATAAGACAGGGTCTTATTTTGGGGAAAACACGCTACCTAGTCTGATAATGAAACATTTGGGAAGTAAATGGAAACAAGCTCGGAGAGCAAACCACTGCCAAAATCTAAAACCTACAAATATTTTCGATTATGTCAAAGAAAAGTTAGATTATGCTTTCCCCAATAAACCAAGTTTAAATAAAATTCTGATTTAATAAACCACAATGGCTGGTTGCAAGCCTATACTAAGAACCATTTAATTGTTTGCCATCACTCTGCTTCTGTCGGAGAACAGCAGGCAGAGTTTGGGGGAAGAGTCAAGGGAGGAATCAGCCTGGAGACCTGCTGTTCCATAAATGTGCTACATCCAACCCTTCTTGAATTCTGTTGACTCTGGGACAAGGAATGGGAGCTCACCCCATTACGCACCACTGGGGATTCGAACCGCTGAGCTGCCAATCTTTCGATCAACAAGCTCAGAGTCTCAGCCACTAATCACCTTAACTGGAACTTATAACGTGGCCCTGATTTTACATGCCTGATGGCTTCCTTCTGCCCTGGTTCTCTGTGTTGTGGTATAACTTGGAGTTTTTCTAAAATCCATCTTAACTTTGGAACCACTGAAAGTCTTTTTCCTCAAATTAGGGGACTGAAGGATAAAACACATAAAGAACGGTTGCAGGAACTGGGTATGTCTAGTTTAATGAAAAGAAGGACTAGGGGAGACATGATAGCAGTGTTCCAATATTTGAGAGGCTGCCACAAAGAAGAGGGAGTCAAGCTATTCTCCAAAGCACCAGAGGGCAGGACAAGAAGCAGTGGGTGGAAAATAATCAAGCAGAGAAGCAACTTAGAAGTAAGGAGGAATTTCCTGATGATTAGAACAATTAACCAGTGGAACAACTTGCCTCCAGAGGTGGTGAATGCTCCAACACTGGAAGTTTTTAAGAAGTGATTGGATAACCATTTGTCTGAAATGGTTTAGAGTTTCCTGCCTAAGCAGTGGGTTGGACTAGAAGATCTCCAAGGTCCCTTACAACTATTCTATTCTATTCTATTCTATTCTATTCTATTCTATTCTATTCTATTCTATTCTATTCTATTCAGTTCCTACAATTCATTTTTATCTCTTCTTCCCCTTTATTTCCAGTGCATATACAGTGATAAACAGAGCGTTATCCCACCCATGAATTAATAATAAATAATTAGCTAATATCAAGTCCCCAAATATCCCCCAAAGTTTAAATCTTCCTTCAAAAACTACAGCACACAACTTATTAAAAGTTACCAAGGCCTCAACTTGATACTTGGGCAAAGCACAGTTCAACCTATCCTTTTATCCTTTCTATCTATGTAACTTTTTAAAAAAATCTATGTAATATTTTTAAGCACACGGAGCACTCTTAAGCCGTGAATCAACTAAATGTCAGGAGGTCTTAAAGAGGAGGCAGATTTGTGAGATAAGAAGTGCCAAGAGCACCAGGGAAACCTGGAAAGGATGATTACCAGGCTTAAAAAAAATAGTGGCTTGGCCAATTATAATCCTCTGCATATCTAAGAGTGCAAGTTAAAATAAGCGATGCTGAGCTGAGAGCCTGCTGGATCTTAGAAGCTTTATGCTGAAGCCACCAAAAAAATATACTGAAGTTCAAAAATACATATCTATTACAGATATGCCTGCTTGATCTAATCGGATGAGTAAGAGCATTCAGAAACTGCACACTGTTAGAACCGCAGCATCACAACTACAAAAAATCCTTCCTTTAAAGAAGGGCTGTCCAACCTTGGCAACTTTAAAACTTGTGGACTTCAACTCCCAGAATTCCCCAGCCAGCCTTGCTGGTGAAGTTGCCAAGCTGGACACCCCTGCTTTAAAGCATATTAAATGTATATACTAAATATATTTAATATATATTTATATATAAAATATAAATATATTAAATATATAAACATATCAAATATACACGGGGGACGTGGTGGTTCAGTGGCTAAGATGCTGAGCTTGTCGATCGACAGGTCGGCAATTCAGCAGTACGAATCCCTCGTGCCGCGTAACGGGGTGAGCTCCCGTTACTTGTCCCAGCTTCTGCCAACCTAGCAGTTTGAAAGCACATAAAAAATGTAAGTAGAGAAATAGGGACCACCTTTGGTGGGAAGGTAAGAGTGTTCCGTGCACCTTTGGCATTCAGTCATGCTGGCCACATGACCACGGAGACGTCTTCGGACAGCACTGGCTCTTCGGCTTTGAAACAGGGATGAGCACTGCCCCCTAGAGTCAGGAGCAACTAGCACATATGTGCGAGGGGAGCCTTTACCTTTACCTTTTTAAATATACATGGATTCAGGGTTGTAGATTCAAGCAGTCTTTCAATCAGGCAATCTCAGACTGCTTGGGACAATAGAAATTACACATGTTCTTTTATATTGCGACTTGTACTCCCATTAAAGACATATTTGACTTCATCGACTTCACTTGATCAAACCTCGGAAATCAGGGCATTCAGATGGGTTTTCAGTAAATTATTTGCTAAGCAAATAGTTATATCCGAACATGAAATAGCGGAGGATATTTTTAAGGAGTTTGCTGTAGCAAGGCCAACGCTAATGGATCATTCATTCTGTTTCACTTGGGTTTGCACAGATCAACTTATAGATGAATGTCTATTATGGCACCTAAAGGTGGTTTCTTTGAGGTCTGAGACTGTTAAAACAATTAATTCTCCTTCTTCACTGTAAACAATGCCTAAGGCTGGGGAAAAAAAGAATTAGTTTTAGATAAGACACGTCTAGTCTACCAAAGAGAAGAGAAGAACTGAGGGTGACAGGATAGCATCTTCCAATATTTGAGGGGCTTTTACAAAGAAAAAGGGGTTCTCCAAAGCACCAGGACAAGAAGTAACAGCTGGAGGATCTCAAAGAGAGATCCACCCTAGAACGAAGAAGAAATTTCCCGTCAGTGAGAACAACTCTGGAGGGTTTGCCTCCAGAAGCTATGGATGTTCCATTACTGGAGGTGTTAAGAAGAGATTGGGCAGCCATTTGTCTGGAATGGAATTGGGTCTCCAGTTTCAGCAGGACTTAAATTAGAACAAGTGATGGTGAACCTTTTTGGCACCGAGTGCTGAAATAGTTGCACGGAAATGTTACGTGCACGTGCTCATCGGGGCCGCACTCC